TCCAAACACTTGCTATGTTCCTAATTTTTCTAAAAATTTGATTTCTTTATCCCGTCTTGATTTAGATGGCTATAAATTTCAATTTGGGGACCAGATTTTTTCTATGTCTAAAAATAATAGTTTTGTTGGCAGTGATTTTTTAGTTGATGGATTATATAAAATAAATCTTGATCCTATTTTTTCACAATCTCTTTTCCTGCATATGAATGTTAATGTTTGCACTAAACGCAGCCGTAATAATGAACTTCATCATTGTTGTGGCATAAACGTTTAGGTCATATATCTAATGACCGATTTAAACGACTTGTAAAAGATGAGTTTTACCAACTCTTGATTTTACAAATTTTGGTACTTGTATAGATTGCATTAGGGTAAACAAACTAAAAGTACCAAGAAAATGTCACTAGACGTTTAGGGCTGTTTGAAGTGATACACACAGGTATTTGTGGTCCATTTCCTCCTTGCATAAGTGGTGAAAAATACTTTATCACTTTTGTTGATAATTTCTCACGTTATTGCTATCTCTATCTGATTAAGGAAAAATCCGATGCTTTGAGTATGTTTCAAATTTTCAAGACAGCGTTGAAAATCAATTAGATAGAAAAATAAAAGTTGTGAGATCTAATAGGAGTGATGAGTATTATGAAAAATATGATGAAACTGATCATAATTTAGGACCATTTGCTAGTTTCTTCGATAATGGAATTATTGCTCAATATACAATGCCTGGGATGCCACAGCAGAATGGTATAGCTGAAAGGCTAATCGAATCTTATTAGATATGATTCAAAGTATGGTTAGTGACACAACTCTTCCTGAGTTTTTATGGAGTGAAGCCTTGAGGACCGCCCTATATATTTAAACAGAGTTCTTGCCAAAGCTGTTACTAAAACCCCTTATGAATTATGGGTTGGTAGAAACAAGTTTAAATCATATAATGTTTGGGGTTGTCCTGCTGAAACAAGGTTTTATAATCCACATGAAAGAAAATTGGATCCAAGGACTATTAGTTGCTATTTTATTGGTTATCCAGAAAAGTCCAAAGGATATCGATTTTATTGTCCTAATCATTACAATAGAATAATGGAATCGAATAACTATAATTTCTTGAAAATGAGAGTTTTAGTGGGAGTCATGACAAAAAGATGTGGTGTTAATTCCAGAATCAAATAAAATTTCTGAAACATCACATCCTAATGGTGATAACGATACTATTATTCTCAGATACACAGTCTGATAATCATCATATTCTACGAAGGTCAAAAAGAACAAGGTCAATGCGATTTTAGATGACTATTTAGTGTATATGCAAGAACAAAATGGCACAGGTGTTGATGATGATCCATTGACCTTTTTACAAGCCATAAGTTGTAGTGAATCAAATGAATGGATGGATGCTATGAAAAATGAAATGGCATCTATGCAGGCTAATCAAGTTTGAGAACTGGTTGAATTACCTAAGGGTGTCGTACCTATTCAATGTAAATGGGTATTTAAGACCAAACGAGACTCAAAAAGTAATATTGACCGTTATAAAACCCCACCAGTGGCTAAAGGGGCTAAAGGATTCACTCAAAGAGAAGGAATAGATTATAATGAAACCTTCTCTCCAGTATCCAAAAAGGAATCTTTCCGTATACTTATGGCCCTTGTAGCTCATTATGATTTAGAACTACATTAAATGGATGTAAAAACGGTTTTCTTGAATCAAAATCTAGATGAAGACATTTACATGCAACAATCCGAAGGGTTTAAGGAGGAAGGCAAAGAGCAATTAGTATGTAAACTCAAAAGATCAATATATGGACTTAAACAAGCATCTCGTCAATGGTATCTTAAATTTCATGATACCATTACATCCTTTAGATTTCAAGAAAATAAACTTGATGATTGTGTATATCTAAAGGTTAGTGGAAGTAAGTTCATATTTTTGACCTTGTATATTGATAACATATTACTTGCTATTAATGCGTTAAGTTTATTGCATGAAACTAAAAGCTTTTTGCTGAGAACTTTGAAATCAAAGATATGAAAAATGCATCTTTTGTGCTTGACATTGAGATTCACAGGGATAGGTTCAAGAAAATTCTTGATTTATCTCAAAGATCTTATATAATCAAAGTTCTTGAAAGATTTCAAATGCAAAACTGTTCAACAACTCCATGTCCCATTATTAAAAGTGATAAATTGAGTCAAAATCAATGTCCACAGAATGATCTTGAGCGACATAAAATGGAAGCAGTACCATATGCCTTAGCTGTAGGAAGTTTGATGTATACTCAAACTTGTACACGCCCTGATATTAGTTTTGTAGTTGGAATGTTTGGTAGATTTCAAAGTAATCCGGGATTTGATTACTGGACTGCAGTTAAAAAGGTGATGCGATATCTTCAAGGTACCAAAGATTTAAATTGTTGGGTACTCGGATTCGAATTTTATGGGATGTGTTGATAGTATGAAATCTACTTTTGGATACGTTTTGATGCTTGCTGGTAGAGTTGCATCATGAAAAAGTGCAAAACAAACTATAACTGCTTCTTCCACAATAGAAGCAGAATTTGTAGCTTGTCATGAAGCTACTTCTCAAGCCATTTGGTTGCGAAATTTTATTGAAGGTCTTCAAATTATGGACTCTATATCCCGACCTATTATGGTATATTGTGATAATTCTACAGCTGTATTTTTCTCGAAAAATAACAAGTGCTCTAGCAAATCTAAGAATATTGAATTAAAATTTCATGTTGTTCGAGAGAGAATTCAACGCAAAAGGTGTCCATGGAGCATATAAACACTGATTTGATGCTTGCAGACCCATTAACGAAAGAATTGGCGCAAAGAAATTTCAAGAAACATGTCAGTTCCATGGGTCTTACTATTTATGAATATTATGTATTACTCTGGACACATAATTGTTTATAATAATTCCTGTTTTGTGCACATTTTTGTATTTTCGAAAGAAATTAGTCAGGATATAATATATGGACCATTAATGAACATTCTTATTTTGTTGTTCATTCCTTCCTCAATTAGTTTATCTACATCTGGTTATTAAATTGTGATATATAGAAGGGAATATGTTTGTCAATTGACATACAACCGCCATAATCCATTTTGATAAACAATGTAGGGTAAACATTTTGTTGTGGCCACTTATTTTGTTTATTGATTGTGAACTATCAAATGTATGTGATCATTTGTCCAAGTGAAAAAATGTTGGAATATTAGTGTGGCCTACATGACCACATGATATTGTTTCAATATTCAATTGTTATCTCACTAGCTCATGAGATAAGTAACCACATAAATAAATTTATGTTGATAGTTTTAGAATCTTAAAGATAGATAAATTGGAGGAAGTAAGGAGTTTCATATTCGTTGTATGTTGATAGTTTTAGAATCCTAAAAAATAGACAAATTGGAGGAAGTAAGGAGTTTCCTATTCGTTGTATGTTGATAGTTTTAGAATCCTCAAGATAGACAAATTGGAGGAAGTAAGGAGTTCCATATTCGTTGTATAGGTTAATTTCGAGAAGGTGTGGAGCCACCAGTTCACTCGCTGAGTCTTTTTGCATCCATGGTTGAATGGTGAAAGCGCCCGAACTCTACCAACTGAATCAAGTTATCTTATAAAAAAGCATGAATTTCGAGTCACGAGTTGCGAGTTACATTACAGGTTTTAGGAAAAAAACGAGTGTCTCCGTCATCTGCGAATCTATTGCTTTCATTGAAATAAGGAAGGGCTTCCCTGCCCCTTTGTGGGGACAGGAATGAAAGACTCAAAATAGACGTATACAATGAATATGGAACTCCTTACTTTCTTCAATTTGTCTATCTTTAGAATTCTAAAACTATTAACATACAACGAATATGAAACTCCTTACTTCCTCTAATTTGTTTATCTTTAAGATTCTAAAACTATCTACATACAATGAATAGGATTCTAAAACTATCAACATACAACGAATATGAAACTCTTTACTTCCTCCAATTAGTAAGGATTTTCATATTCGTTGTATGTTGATAGTTTTAGAATCCTAAAGATAGACAAATTGGAGGAAGTAAGGAGTTTCATATTCGTTGTATGTTGGTAGTTTTAGAATTTTAAAGATAGACAAATTGGAGGAAGTAAGGAGTTCCATATTCGTTGTATATAGACGTATTATATGTAGTATTTTATCTGATAATTACAGTGATTATTAATCTGTATCTTATCATAATAAAGTATCATATATCTGAAGATATTAGAGTCTATCATAATTCTATGATAGGAGGGATTGTAACTCTATAAATACTCTAGGGCACCTAGTCCCTCTCACCACTCTGACATTCGTTATTTTTACCCATCACTAAAATAACATAATGGAGAGTTAGGTAAGGGAAGGCTAGACAGCAAAGGTTTATAGTTTACAACCTTGGTGATTGGAAGGCTTGCTGAAAGGGTTGTGAAATTCTTCTCCAAAATGTCTTCAATATCTCAAGGTATGTTAATCAAGAATTTATTTCTTAATTTTAATTTACAAATCATACTAAAGATCCTGCTCCTTATGTCTAACATAGACTTGTTGATATCTTATGTACACAATTTGATAACTACAATGAACAACCCAAAAAAATGATAAATTCTTTTTATGCCATTGCAACAAGTTACTAGTTTTTTCTTTTTGTTTTGCCTGATAAAAAGGATTACTAGTTTTTGTCTTGAAATCGCAAATAGATGGTATTGGTTCTAAGTTTCATGTTTGACCTAGGATTTGCATCGGCCAAAAGTGAATCTATATACATCTTTCACGAAGTACACATTTTTAACGTTAATCTGTGAACTTATTCGAGATGCGGCAATGTTCTTCCGGTATACTTCCAATTACCTTCAAAAGCCGCTGCCGTCAAAAGCCGGCTGATTTTGTCAAAGTTTAATCAACACTCTATATAAATGTTGTACCATGTATTTGTTCCACCACGCTCAAAATTAAGGCACAAAAAAGAAAGCTTTCGCAGAAGACAGAGAGAAATTTAATATACAAATGGCGTCGAAAGCTTTCTTGATTGCAGTAGCTATGGCTGCTACAATTGTCGCTCCAACAATGGCAAAGGAAATATTGGTTGGAGGTGCAGATGGTTGGAGATTGGGCATTAATTATCAGGCCTGGGCTGATGGAATTGAATTTGACGTTGGAGATACCTTGGGTATGTCAATCTCCTTCAATCCAGACCTTGATCATGATTCTTACTTTCATACATTCATCTTAAAACATTATTCTGATCCTAACAAGTCAGTAATATTAGACAAATATTAGTCATGCTCTTTTCTTTTCTTTTTTTTTTTTTTAATAATGAGAATCCTGCCATCATTTTTGTCACGTAATTTTTATTTATTTATTAGACTATATGATAAAAAATAATGAAAATATCATTGTAAAAATGTAGATTACGATTGTTGAGTGAATTAATAATGTCTGAACCCGAAGTGCTTTCTGTACTGATTTATCAAAGCTTGCTCAATTCTTAGGAGTGGTATAGCATTTCAAAAAGTAATCCTTAAAAACTAACACAGGTTGGACAGGAAAACGGTTATGCTTGTGTATCCATTATGGATGCACAAAAAGCTTTTATTATCCAATTTTACTCAATTTTCTTGATGTTGGCTTGAAATTTATCTCACATTGATTGTGAAAAGACCAGTGCGAGGAAAAGTCTAGCTAATTTTTAAGGCAAGAGATCCAAAGTGTCACTATTTTTTGGATTTTCTAACATCCAACAATATGATGGCAGAGATTATCAAATTAAAATCAGTTGAAATCTTCATTTTTATTACCAAACAAAACAAATCTCTCTGTGTGTATGTATATATATATATATATATATATATATTATATATATATTAAAGATTCATCGTGTAATTCACTAACCAAGTCTTTTGGCAACATGTAGTGTTTAACTACGTGGCTGGAAACCACAATGTCATCAAAGTAAATGGGACCGACTTCCAACTTTGCGCGGCGCCGCTCGGCGCTGCACCTTTAACCTCCGGTCATGATGTGATCCTCCTCGCCACTCCCGGAAGGAAATGGTACATTTGTGGCGTTGCCAATCATTGCCAGGCTGGACCAATGAAGTTTGCCATTACTGTCCAGGTCCAGGGAGGTAGATCTCCTCCATCTGCATCTGCTCCAGGATCTCCTCCATCTGCATCTGCTCCAGGATCTCCTTCATCTGCATCTGCTCCAAGTCCTGCCTCCCCATGTTCTTGAAATTCTGGAATTGCTTCCTCAAAATATTCCTAGCTTGTGTTCTATGGGACACACCCTTTGATGTCGAACATCATCCATTACGGATGAGGGGCTTATAGGATATTGTCAATAAAGTTGCCCAAGAAGTCATTTGGATTTCTTAGTTGTGGAGGGGTAACCGTCGTGGTCTTAGATTGTTATTACATTTTCTAGTTGTATTTGTGTTCAAGTTTTAAATTACTACTACAATAATCGGACGAGTTGTTGGAGCAGCTTCCTTAATTGTTCTTTAATCATATTTAGTATGTTGTGCCTCGTAATTAATAGCTTATTACTACACTTTTATCGATTGTTATTCAACTTTGGTTGGTTATTTCCAAATGTTTTTGGGGATGAAGAAGGCCGTCTAGCGTATATCATTTCCTTCTTTGGAATCGGTTTGATGTCAATATTCTACCTGCCATATTTCTTAAAGTAGGAAAATTAAATTTTCATTCTATTTAGTGGATCATTTGAGAAATATAGACAATATTTTTTAAAAAAAAAAATGGAGTAGTTTTTCCCAAGTAATTAAGAAAAGAGTTTAGCCATTATATGTATGCATAAATAAATAAATAAATAAATAAATATATATATATATATATATATATATATGATGACGCAGTATTCAATTACTAAAAAAGGAGTCCACAATGTATACAAAGTGGAGTGGATGGAAACCGTTTCAAACAGCTGACCTACCAAAGGCGAAAATGCCCTAGAAAGTGGGAAAGATGCATAGTCACTCTTGCTACTCCAGAGAAGAAATGGCATATTTGTGGAGTTGGAAATCAGTACTGCAAATCTGGGATGAGGCTTGTTATTAACGTCCAACAAAAAGACGCTTCTGCTGACAAGAAATCAGAAAATATCACTTGACACCCCTGAAGTTTTAAAATGTCACTTGTCTCCCCTAATAATTGCAAAAAAAAAAAAAACTATATTTACTCTTACTTGATACATAATTCACATATCAAATAAATGGAGCTCAAAAAATTACAAAAAAGAAAAAAAAAAGTAACTTTGTTCTCTTTCTCCTTTCTCCAACATTCTCTCTTACTCTTTTTGTTTTTGGATGACTATGCAATTTTTTATTTATAAATTACAAAAAATTGAATTTTTTTTTATTTTTTATTTTATGTGATTGTCATACAGTGAGGTTTGATTCGTTTTTTTATTTTAAGTTGATTTTTATAATGATCAGTATAATTTAAAGGCCACAGGTTGAGAAGAAGTTGAAAAAAAAAAAAAGAATCATAAGAAATTGATTTTGGGCATATAAAGCTAAATTGGTGCTAGTGTATTCTTTGCAAATATCATTTTTTGTTTTTCAGATTTATATTTTTATAAACTATATAGCATTATGACGTGATAATACTACTATTGGAGATTATTTTTTAGATGATAATTTTTTTTGGAGTAAACAAAGTGACTTAAAAGTTATTTAGCGAGCAAAAGAGTAGTTTAGAATTTTTCAGAATTTTGTCACACAAATAGCAAATGTATGGGATGTAAGTGATATTTTTAAAATCTTAAGGGCGCTAGGTGATATTAAGAGAAACTTCAGGGAGGTTTTTGATATTATCCCAACCAAATATCCGACAAGCCGAGAACAAAGGCATCCCTTCCCGTCTCAATCAATCCAATTACTGATATTCCAAAGTACAGTAATGATATTTACATTAGGCACAGAATAGTTATAATACTTGACATTTTTTTTTCCTTGAAAATAAACAGCTGCTTGCTTCGAAGTTTCACCTACGACCTAGTCGAGAATCCATGAACAGCTTTTACGAAGCACACATTGTTATGTTTTTAACGTTAATTCGTTAACTTATTCGAGAAACGCATTCCACTTGCCATATCTATTTTCGATGTTCGGGTTGCCGTCATAAGCCGGCTGATTTTCTCAAAGCTCAATCAACACTCCATATATAAATGTTGCAGTACCATGTATCGGTTCCTCCAAGCTCACAATTAAGGCAAAATAAAAAGAAAGGAAGCTTTAGCAGAATACATAGAAATATAATATACAAATGGCGTCGAAAGCTTTCTTGATTGCATTAGCTGTTGTTGCTGCAATTGTTGCTCCGACAAGGGCAAAGGAAATTGTGGTCGGAGGTAAAGATGGTTGGATGTTCGGGATGGATTATCAGGCCTGGGCTGATGGAATCGAATTCCACGTTGGAGATACCTTAGGTATGTCAAAATTCCTTGAATCCACAGATACCTTAGGGATTGCAATTTGCATTTATTGTGTTCCATTCTACAACGTAATCTTGAACTCACTAACGTTGAATGAGTTAATAATAAATGTCTCGAAGCTAAAGAAGTCTCTTTTTTTTTTTTTTTTTTTTCTAACGCATGGGGTATCCAGGCCTTCGGCTTGACTAATCCCCCTGCGGTTTGAGAGGAGAGCCACATCCCCTCGAACACGGTAACCATGGAATTCGAACCCTGATGGGACTGAACAACGGTTACGAAGGAGGCTTCCGTGACCAACCGAGCTGCCTATGAGGGGCTCGAAGCTAAAGAACTCTATATACTGATTTTTAGTAATTTGCTCAAATAATATTTCAAAAAGCATAATCCTCAACAAGAACACAGATTGGACAGGAATAAGGTTAATCTTGGCTAGTTTTTGGGATGACAGAGCCTAATAACACCCGACAATATGGACGACAGAAATTATTAGAAATTAGTTAAACCCTTCTTTTTCTATGAACCAAAAAAAGAAAAAGAAATCTTTATCATTTAAAGTTTCATCATGTAAGAAATTCACTAACCAAGTTTTTTTTTTTTTTTTTGGGTAGTGTTTAACTACAAACCTAGAGCACACAATGTCATCAAAGTAAATGGAACCGAGTTCAAACAGTGCGCAGCACCACTCGGGGCTGCTCCATTAACCTCCGGTCACGATGTAATCACCCTCGCCGCTCCCGGAAGGAAATGGTACATTTGTGGCTTTCCCGACCATTGCCACACTGGACAAATGAAGTTTGCCATTACTGTCCAGCCCGGTTTAGGATCTCCTTCACCTGCACCTGCTCTAACTCCTCCCAAACCCGATGCTGGAGCAGCCACCGGATTTGGTCCCTCAAAAACTTTATCTTGGATGATTGCTGCATTGGCCGCCTTCATGATGATCATGGCTTGACGGAGATTCAGGAGTAACCTTTACTACTATTTATACTTGTTTGAAAGCAGAAAGGCTCACAGGTTTCATTTTTTTTCCAGTCCTTGTAATCCATTTATTTCTACTTGTTTACGTAACACATTCAGTCAGTTAATGCAATGCATGAGGATTTGTACGAGCTTTGAATAATACAGCATCTTGATCCCGTTGTCGCTTTATTTGAGTAATTATTTTTTACAGTAGCAGTTTGATCAGAATAACAATGATGGCTTAAATATTTATAACCCGTTTTTCATTTCACAAAAGTCATCCTCAATCATTCTAATTTTGGTCAAATCCGTATAATAAGATTGGAGAAAACTTTGACGAGATGGAGGGTCAATAATAATAAAATATTTTGTCTTGTACGTAGTGAATTGATTGCAACAAATAAACCACACACGGCCATAGGCAAGGAAGGGGGGATGACATCAATGACAACAAGTACATGCAAGAATTAATATCCGTTCTCCTATTCGTCAAGATTCAACCAAGCAATCCTTCATCGAAAGAGAAGTCCCTGAAAGACAGGGCAGATTAAATGCACAAAGATTTCCAGCCATTGCAGAACTTCATGCAGGATTCATCGTCAATCACAAGAAAAGAAAGAAGGAAAAAAAGGGTACTAACATAGCAATCATTATTGAAAAAATTGGTCCATGTAAAGTAGTAGTATATAATTTTAAATTGAACTCTTTTCATTATGAGCATAGTTACCTCTTGACCTTGGGTCCTTCCGCACTACTAAAAACATACTACCATTCAAACGGAAGTTAATATAGTAGCATTTTAACTTTCTAGTAAATATGCTTTCCTTTTCCTACAAACTGCAAAATGGTTGCATGAAAAGTGCTTAGACCTGTCTTCCTAAAATCTTACTTCTGTCTGCAACTACGCTAACTATTCACAAGATTATCATTAAGCTGAGCTAGCTATGCTGAAAAAGAAGTCTCAACCACCAATTAGTGTCGTAAGTGCTAAGTTGCTTTCTCCATGTGGAAATGGTCCCACTCCTAACTTGTAGTCGACAGAGCAACAGCTGATATCAAAAAGAATTCCCAACTCCCACGACATGAGAGCAAAATCATAACAGTAGTTGAGAGATGTATATTACTTGCTAATCCAGATTAAAAGCAGAAGAATTCAGACCCAACTTTGGGCCTATCCTTGCGACCTATTAAGAGACTGGGTACCTTCTCCTTCAGCTTAGAACAATTAAGCATGTAGCATTGGCTGGCAAATAAAAAACTTAGATTATACATGCTGGCAGATTTAGATCAACTCAAGATTGACAAGTGACACATCCCTCCCCTCCCCCCAGCTAAATTCCTGTTTAGCGCGAAACATCCCTCTAAAGCACAAGGAAAGAGGTTGACATAAGCTGAAATGGTAAAGTTCAACAAAATAAAGCGTGACAGATCGATCCATAGGAGTTGATTCAGGAAATGGACAAATAACATTTCCAGAGTCATGCATCCAATATCCTTGTATATAGATAGCAGCCTGAATTTCTGCTGTTTATTGACATCAAATTGATTGCACATGCTATGATGGCTAGTGACGAATTAAGACCTAAATACATTTTCTTAACAAATTACCGAACAATTTCTCAAACATCCTAATTTTCAACTTAGATGGATCACAACATCTGATCTCATATGAAGGCAATAGCGATATTACATTCCTACCGACGTGCCACCATACTGTTTTAATCTTGCATCATCATCTTCAATAAACCACGACAATTTCCCATTATAATCTGAGCTAATTATGCTAGGATCACTCCAAATGCAATGATCTCATACAAGCTTTCTCATTACATAAGATCCAATCCCAACTTTTGCAAATCCAACTGAGAAATCAACTACTGTATATATAGAATAAATGGCACCAGATCAGGAAACAAAGGACATGTCTAACAGAAGTAACAAGAAAGAATAAATTTTCCCCCCTTAGATTTAAAAAAAAAACTAAAAGAATTTGTCCTTCCTTCTGTGGTAATATCATAAAACAATATAAAGTTACACGAAGGGGATAGTAAAAGAGGAAACTTTATTCTCTTAAACCACCCCTATTGAAGAAGCAATTGTATAAAGCAGGAAAAGAAAGAGAAAAAGAGAATAAACATAATCCCTTCTCCCTAGCCCAACTTCCTGTACAACAAATCAGTGAACCTCTCTCCTTTTGATCCCACAATTAAATCAACCAATTAAAGACAAAACAGGCATAGAACAATTGGAAAAGAGCCTCACCCCGTGTATTCTTGTGCCGGCACCACCACCAACTAGCTGATATTTGCTATCAATGAGCTGTAAGTTTAGACCTCTTCTTGGCCTCACTGTAAAGCACCACCCCCATTATTGTCACAGCAAATCCGGTCATCCCCATAACGGTCACCGGATTCCTGAATATCAACACTGAAACCACAGCAGCCACAGCAGCCTTGGCATTCCCCAACACTTGCAAAGTCAAAGCACTAGTATGCTTTGTCACCAAGAAGTTAGTCAAATTCACCAAATAAGCCACAGTGGCATTGGCAACCAACAAAAAGATCATAAACCCATCGAGCCTCGCCTTCTCAATTGTCACGGCAGTCACGTTCCCCTCAATATACAAAGTAAAGGGTAACAAAATCATAGCTGCCATCGGAGCCATGTACAACAAGAGATTCATCGAGTGCAATTTCTCAGCATCAGACGTTAACAACAACCCTTGAACCACAGACTTCAAGGCTCTCCCAGCAGTCGAACCTAATGCCATTAAAAACCCAAAAAGATGAAACAAGGGCTCGCTATTGCTAGCCAAAACAATCCCAAGAACCACAGGGACAAGTGCTAAATAAACCTCAGCAGATTCCTTTTTACAAGTAATCACAAATGCAAAAATGGCTGTGAAGAAAGGGGTAGTGGCACCAATTGCTTGGTTGAACGAGACAGGCAAGTACCTCAAAGAAGTATTCCCACAGACAACAGAAAAGCAAAAAATAGCAGATAAAGCAAGAATCTTGAAAAACTGCTTCCTACTATGAATTTGCTGAAAAGGGACAATTTCTAGCCACCTGATGGCTACAAAGCTATAAGAAGCACAAGAGATCATGTGCAGCATGGTAAGGAAGATTGGGTAACGGTAACCATAAAAGCTGAGGAGATATTTGTTCAGTAAAAGTACACCAATGTTTGACAAGTACCATGATGCAATGATAAGTGCTGTCAGCAAATTTGGAGAGATTAAGGATCCCACCCCCTGTTGATGTTTTATTTCAGCAGTTGGCGTAACTGGGATATCCAGGACTTGGTCTGTGGACTCCAATCTTGGGTTGCTTCCCCTCCTTGTTGTCCATGACTGTGCCTCCACCATCCCAGTTCCCAAACGTCACGCTTGCTTGATTGAATAGTCTGGTGTTTTTAGGCCTGTGCAGTGTGCGTAGTATGTGCAGAGCTGGTGGAGGAGATTTTGTTGTATACACTATACACTGCAGTGGAGTTAGAACTTAGATCTGGGGGTGGTGACTGGTGACAAGGTGTGAAGGGGGCGTTGAGTTGAGGGGAAAGATAAGGTGGGAATGTGGGCTTTGGGCTTGGGGGGCCCTGATGGATCGGATTTGACTCGAAGGTGGAGATTTAGATTTGGGTAGGGAATGAGGACAACAGCCGTTGGATGAGAGATGGCGGGGAATAAATTATTAATGGCAATAACATCATTAAATTTCTCGAGATGGTTTCTGAATAGTGTCGGCCTTGACTTGGATTGGGTACTTCTGTAAGTTATGTACGTCACTGTGTGTACTCTACCCCTCTGTGCGTGCGTGTGTTTATTTTTTTAACGTTGGTGGAGATGGAGAGATAGAAGGTATTTTCACTCGTGGGTTACTGCTCCAGGAAAAACTACTACTACTAATATTCTCTTCATATGGGTCGGGTCGGGTCGGCAGAATCTTTTTTCCCTGTTGTGTAATGCTAAGCCCCTGCAAATTTAATGCAGTTGAGAATGTGTTGACTCTGATTCGTGGACCAATAGGAGGGTGCTTTAGATTGTGATTCTTGGTTCCGAGCATCTGTCCATAATTGGATGTTCGAATTGGATGGCAACACAAAAAAAAAAAAAAAAAAAGGGAGGGAAGTACTTTCCTATCACCAATTGATTGGATGGGTGTTTCTTGTAGATTTTCCGTAGATCACTTTCGGACCGCTCTTTCGGATTACTCCCGTGTTTGTTCTAAATTGAGTGTGTGTATGTGTTATTACCCTTCTTGGTAAAAACAAAAAAAAAAGGGAAGTAGTCCCTGTATTGACAAAAAAAATAAAAAATAATTGGATGGCAACAAAACTGTAAACTCTTCCACTACCCAACCTTTGTATACAACATTACCAGCAACACTACACTTCTTTTTTGTAGTATAATTTATGGGATTACTATTTTTTTTCCCTGATATGATAGACTTATTCCTACTTTATATTATGGAAAAATGGATGATCCAATTGGACCAATGGGGAAATTCGGGGGACAGGGACTAAATCATTACTGATCCAGACGGATGCATACGCACTCACTGGCGAAATATTTCAGGAAATTTTGAATTTTTAAAATGTAAATCAAATGATTCGATGGTCAGTTACTCTAAGAATAGTTGGTTTATTGGTTATGAGACTCCTATGTTCACTTGAGTTGGCAGTTTGAATCTAAAACATGCACAAGAAGAAGCCCTCTGCATTGAATATCCTTTTGCGAGGTTCTATCCACTAAAGTCCATTTAACTCTGATCCTTCCTCCAGATTGCTTGGCAACTATGCTAATTCCCAGTTTATGGCCACTGCTGATTTCTTGGTAGCAATCTGAAGTTCCATCAGCTTACCCTCCTCACTTCCTCCCTCCCATACTCTCTCATTTGCTTCATCTGTTTCTGATGTACTTTTCTCATCCTTGCCTCTCCTAACTTCCCCATACTCCATCCATTCTATATTGGCTTTATGTACAATTTTCAGGCCATCTCTGTCCTTCCCTTCAATTCCTTTTCATTTCTGTTTTTTCATAGCTACCAGAGTATGTTGGCAGTCAGAGCAATATGCTGTCTTTCATCTTTCCTGCTTGTGGCTCGAACTAATGCTGCCACCACTTCTTGAAGCAACCTATCTGATTCTGGATGCCATCCCATTGTACTGGTGTAAGCTTCCATACCTTCTGAGCTTGTTGGTAGTGGAATAGAC